AGAGAGAGAAAGAGAGAGAGAGAGAGAGAGAGAGAGAGAGCTTTAATAAATATCAGGTAGATTCTGGTCTCTATTGACTTAAAATGTAATTATTTTTATAAGATTTATTAAATGTATATGAATTTTAGAGTGGATACATAAATATACAGTATATGATTAACTTTGGATCGTACAGTATTTGCCATTAACTATGCTTATTTCTATACTTGATTATTATATTTATAACAATTAAAATAATTATTGTAATTTTAAATGTATCTAAATCTCACGTCAAAATCTATACCTATAATTTGAATTCAAAATATAAATTAATATATTTTATATTGACAATTTATTAAATCAATTATTAATATAGAATTTGTGAACTATGATATTTATTATGCAGAACCTGTTAGAAACTTTATGTTTTAATATCTTATCAACAAAACTATAACGATTATATTTTTAACAATGGTTTATTTATCTTAGAAATTGTTCTTAATATCACACATAGAGTTGTTGTTTATTATATTTTGTTGTATTTAACAAATAATTTATTCTAATTATAATAGTGTATTAAATGTGCTATTTATATTATAATAAAATACAAAATATTATTATATTATAATTAAAATGTGTGATTTATTAAACAAGTTTACAATTTGTGATACAATGTCTACAAATATTAAAGAAATTATTACAAAATTACATGTTTTCAGTAACGCTGGAAATAATGCATTATTCATAACATCCGATGATATGGTCTATGGGTTGGGTCTTAATACCAATGGGTGTCTGGGTTTTGGACACAACAATCCCATACCATCACCAGAACTGATACCACAATTATGTAATCAAAACATACAATACTTTGTCAATGGATTGGATTTTGTATTAGCAGTAAATGATATAAATGTATTATATGGTTGGGGTAACAATAAATTTGGGCAATTGGGTCGGGGTTATAATCATGAATATGGTTGCCTAAAACCAAAGAGAATATCATATTTTGATGATAAAAATATTGTTCAAATTAGTTGTGGTTTATATCACACACTGGCCCTCACCGGTGATGGCCGGGTGTATGCCTGGGGTGACAATAAATGGGGACAAATTGGTTGCACAACTTATAGCAAATTTATATCTACACCAATTGAGTTAGAATTTGCCAACAATTATAAAATACAATCCATATATTGTTGGTATGAATCGTCGTTTGCCATCACATCCGATGGACATGTGTTCAGTTGGGGCGACAATACTGACCATCATTTAAACCACAATAAATCATATGGAAATGTATTACAACCCCAATTAATAACCTCTATAAGTGATGTGAAAACAATTTGCAGCAATAGATTAGGCACAATGTTTCTTAAGACTAACGGTTTTAGGCATTTTTATTCAAAAGACAATGATGGTGAAATTCACAGTGAGCCAATACTAGTAACAGGATCCGATAATATATTAACTAAACACAGTTATCAAGATTTACAACAAATTAATACAAATGAATACCATGATAAATTCATTGTTTTATTGAATGATAAAATATGTCTAATATCATATGATTTAAATTTGATTGAAACTAATTATAATAATTTTATCGACTATTACGCCAATGAAATACAAATAACTTATAATACAATTGATTTAAAAGTATTGATGGATAAATCATATGAAACTGAAAATAATGTTAAGTCAAGGGATGGTATTTATAATAAGCAATTCAATGAGATCTCGGCCATAGGTTCGGGTGGTTTTGGGACAGTATTTAAAGTAAAGCATAGATTGGATGATAAGATATATGCCGTTAAAAGAGTCCTATTTAATGGTAAATGTAATTATCAATAGCTTTTATATTAATTCATTANAGATTGGATGATAAGATATATGCCGTTAAAAGAGTCCTATTTAATGGTAAATGTAATTATCAATAGCTTTTATATTAATTCATTAAAATTATTTTAATAGATTTCAGTGAAGACAAGAAAAATAAAGTGTTAAATGAAGTGAAAAGTTTAGCAAAACTGGACTCAGAATATGTGGTAAAGTATTACCACTCGTGGACTGAATCCCATTATCTTTACATTCAAATGGAGTTTTGTTCGCAAAGTCTTAAATCACTTCTAAATGATAAACACATAGTCTTTGAGAGACAACCGGAAGATGTGATGAAAGTCTTTGAATATTTCGTTTTGTGTGAAATATTCAAAGAGCTCTTAGAAAGTGTCCAATACTTACACGAATGCAAACCACCGGTCATTCATCGGGATCTCAAACCCGACAATATATTGATTGAACACAACGTTAGGTTCAATCGATGGGTCAAACTATGTGACTTTGGTTTGGCCACCGATCACGACATGCCATCCATGAGCCACACGTCAAATGTCGGGACTTCACAATACATGTCCATTGAAGCCCATCAGCGCCGCTACACAACCAAAGCAGATATCTATAGCCTGGGAGTGATTGCACAGCATTTGTTTGACTTATTCAATATGTATGACATTTATAACATATGGAAAATGTAACAATTGTTAAAAGAAAATATAATAATTTTTTGTTTTAGTGAAAACCCGTTAGAAAAATACAGTTTAACAACATTTTCAGCCAATTTTAACAAATTATATGCAATTATTTGGTCAATGGCTAAGTCTATGGCTTACAAACGACCGACCAGTGGTCGAGTGCTACAGGAATACAACGACTGGTCTATCAATAAGTCTATTATCACTAATCATAAGGAATTCAATGCAATACGAAATATACTTCAATCTAAAGACAATGCATTTTTCTATGAGTTTTTATTGTGTAAAACAAAATCATAATAATTTTGTAAAAGATAACATTATGTTTAAATAATTGGATAACATCTAATCAATTTCAAATATTGTAATATTAATTATTTTACTTTATTCTAATGTTACGTTTTCACTTTTGAGAATATTCTAATGTGAGAAAATGTGGGAAATTAATCTTGTTGAAAAATAGTCGACAATATATAAAATACTTTAGAAAACCTAATACAGTATATTAATTTTTTGAAAAATAGAAAAATAAAAAAATAAAATGCAACTTATATTTCCATTTAATTGAGTTTTTGTGTGTTTATAGAGAGGTTTTATGACTTTTTTTCTATTATTTGCAAAATAATTATTACAAATAATAAGATTATTTAATGTGTGGGCTGTTAAATAAATATAAAAGAGGCCCTACATTAAAATACTATAGTTATTATCATATATTGTAAGAAATTCTTCCCATCAAACCGGCGTTTCCAATAGTTATCACTGATTAAGTTATTATTTTCAACAATTTTATTTCAAGTATAATAACTAGAATATACATGTTATACAATGCACAAAACTAATTTTATAGATTTTGTTTAAGTTGTATGAAAATTCTTTCATTTACAAAGAATGATTTATTTAAATCATAAAATGCCACATTTCATACTGGACTCAAAATACGTGGTAAAATCTAACCACTCATCGCTTTCGTCCGATAATCTGTTCCTACAAATGGAGTTCTGTTCCCAAAGTCTTCGTTCACTTATGAGTGAAAATACATTGTCTTTAAGAGACAATCACCGGCGGAACCGATGGATATCATTGAATATTTCATATCGTGTGAAATATTCAAAGAAATCTTGGAATGTCTGCAATATCTTCACGAATTGAAACCACCGGTCATTCATCGGGATATAAAAACCGATAATATATTGATTTTATACAATATTAACAATCGGTTTGGAAGACTGGTGTGACTTTGGTTTGGAAACACATTATTTATGTTTGATATCGATCTCCAGACGTAATGTGTTTTTTAAATTATTAATTAAATGTTAATTACAATAATAATTAAATATTTGTGTATTTATATCAATAGTAGGCAAACATTTCAAGCATAACGAGTGGTCTATCGATAAGACTGTTGTCACCAGTGATCGAGTACTCGACGACTATAACCAGTGGTCAGTCGATAGACATATAACTACCGCANTGCTCACAATTTCATAGCAATTGTTTTGTTACAGTTTTCTGTTAAATATTTTTATTAGAGAGAGCGAGCGAGCGAGAGAGAGAGAGAGAGAGAGAGAGAGAGAGAGAGAATTGGAGAGCAAATGTTATTTCGCTGGCAAATGTAATGTTGAGACAATCATTCACAAAGTTAGACAATTGGGTCAATAAGCTATTTATACACTACACCAGTGCTATACTACAGGTGATAGATAACACCATATACTGTATACCTTTTATATTGAAATGACACGGAATCTATATATAGACTTCAATACTCTGTATTCATAGATAAAAAGTGTCGATATATTCTGTGTCTATATATAGAATATTCTGTTGAATGAATTGCTATAAACGTTGAAATAATGGGAATAATTGTATATTTCTATTTATAGTATACTGAATGATAGGATTTATTGGTAATGCTAATGCAATGTACAATGCATTACTAATGCATTGTACATTTATAAACTAGATCATTTAAGTACAAATTCTTATGAAACTATTGGCTATATCAAGCACTTCATTGTAAAGAGATGGTTCATTATACAGTAGTGATTGCATTATATATGCAATTGTATAATGTATTGCATTATTACATAGAAATCAATTACTGAATGTGAATAAATAGACAGTTGGACAGACAGTCAGTTCATTTCTGTTGGCATTTTGTTAAGTAGTGCCCGGAATTGAATCTTGATAAATATTCATTAGTGTTATTCTATTGCTATTGCCTCTCAAACTGTCAATAAGCATGATTCAAAACACTTCTCATATACATATTTTAATATAATTTAATCAGACAAACTGTTTATAGCATATTTAATATAATTAGAAGTATTGCAAATTGAACTTGATAAAGATATTACAAACAATTATACAACTATAGTTTACAATATTAATAAAATTATAAATTGTAGTGTAACATTTTTATACAATAAGATATATTTATTTATTTAAAGTTTATAATTTACTTTTACTAATAAATGTTATATTAGTTTAACTAATTAACAAAACACACAATCTTGGATAATCATGTACTACACATGTATATCAAAATGAAAACAATTTTCAATTAGATAAATTGGTTATATAGTTATCTAAACGAGTGTTTAAATCCATTTAATGGTTGTAATAAAAATTTGACCTACTAGCAAAAATTTTGTACATTGCACAAAATTCTGCAATTATGTACATTTACTTCTGTGTGCATTGCTCTCTCTCTCTCTCTCTCTCTCTCTCTTTCTCTCTCT